GTTGGGATTCCATCCTTTTCCTCAGATCCTCTATTTTTTTATCTGTGTCCTCTCTAGATTTATTAATCATGTCTTGCACCATGAGCACAATCTTTGCTGTTATCTGAGTAATTATTTCTGATTTCATTTTTTGCAGATCCTCTTTTGTTGCCAGTTCAGAGAATCCAGGTAGTTGAGTATCAGACTGTTCCATCTTATTTCCCTTTGGGGTTGCTGTAGGTGATCCGGAAGTCTGTTTTTGGGGATTGTGTATGTTTCTTCTCCTTTTCATGGGGCAGGGGTGATGCTTCTGGTATTGTGCAGCTCACCTTCTGTGCCCTAGGAGCGTGGGATGGTGGTGGGGGAGCTTCCTTCCGGGTGCTGGGACCGGCCCAGCTTCTGTGCCCTAGGAGCTTGGGATGGCGGTGGGGGAGCTTCCTTGGCACTTTCAACCTAAAGAGATTTATATTGGCTCATGGTTTCAGAGGGTTCAGGCCATGGTTGGCTGGCTCCAAGATGGAAATTTCATGGTGAAAGGTTATGGCAGAGGGAAGCTGATCAATCCATGGCATCCAGGAAGCATAAAGAAAAAAAGGAGCTGGGGGCAAATATATGTCAAGTCACCGCCCCATTACCTAATTCTTTCAAGCAGGCATCACCTTCCTAAAGCACATCCAGCTATGACCTCATCACTGGATCAATCCACTGTTGAAGAGTGTTCTCATGATCTAATTACCTTCCAAAGGCCCACATCTGACCACAAGAGTTTGGAGGAACATTTTAGTTTGAAACCATGACAGTGGCTTAAACAACACAAATTTATTCCCACAGTTCTGGAGGATGGGGAATCAAGATCAAGGTGCACAAGGTCAGTTTCATTCTAAGGCTTCTTGTAGCTTTCAGGCAAATAACTCATGAGCTTTGTGCATGTGGGCAGGCAGAGGGGATAGAGAAGAGCTTCTCTGCTATTAATGCTTCTCTGCATTAATCCTATTATGAAGGACCTACCTCATCTAACTGTAATTACTTCCAAAATATTAACACACCAGGACTTTGGGCTTCAACAAAGAATTTGGAAAGGTCATAACTATTCAGTCTGTAATAACTAGCTTCCCTGAAATCTTTGTCTTTCTCCCCTCACCAAAGTGGCATGAGTGCACTTGCTGTAAGTAAACAGTATAAAAGGATTTATCATTTAAAAATACAACTTATTTAGCAATTCACTGGACAGAAAACAGCTTCATCCAATTCCTTTTAATATTGGTTTTTATCTTATTTCAAGGAGACTGAATGTCACATTTTTTCCCCAGAAGTTGCAAACTGGACCAAGACCATTTCATAGGTACATTTTGTTTGGCTCATTTGGTTTTAAAGACTGAACAGATTGCTTATATTTAACAAGCTGATTTCACAGGCAAATTCAGACTCTGCTTCTCTTCAACATGTCACCATTTGGCAGACCATGACTACTCCTCCAAAACCCCCATGGAGTCTGCCCCTCTCAACAGCATGGGCCCTTCCCCTTCACTCATTTACCTCTGCTGTCTGGCACCTGGAGGCCATGTTTTCAGCCCTAGTTTCCTCACATAGTCATAGAAGTTGGTCACTGTTGTGCAGTTGGTCACCTGAAATCGTGCTTCCCAAGGAATTCTGTACTCTCTAGCTTTGTGAAAACAACTCCAAACTCTAATGTCTACATTTTCTCTATAATGACAAATTTCTCTATGACTATATGAATCGTCTCTATTTTAGTTTCTAGAGGGAACTCCTAAGATGACTGAATCACTAAGCATCCTTCTAATTTTCGAAGCTAATTTGTCTTGTTCCAGATCTCGCTTCTTGATCCTCATCTGTTGGTAAATAGGCAGTAACTCAAAGTAAAAGATGTTTTGCTGCATAGGAAACAAGATGGCCTTTCTTAAGATTATACCCATCTGTGAATCTGGAGCCAAGGAATAACATACCAACAAGACCACTGATGATATACATGAATGCATTACTCCATCATCTCTACTTTGGGAAATGATAAATCCGAGGCAAATTTTTGAATTAGTGATTTGCAATAGGAGCAATTTAAAATTATAGTCTTTTGTTTTGTTTTCTTTTTTGCAGTGCTGGGGATTAAACCCAGGGCTTTGTATATTTGAGGCAATAGCTCAACCATTAAACATTCTACCTGTCCTTACACATCACCTGTAGAATAACCTTGGTTCTTGCTTTGAAAGGCAACTTGGAGGTCTGGGTATTTCCTCATTCTTTCAGAAGCATTTTGAGGCTGGGTATGTAGCTAAGCGCTACAGTATCTGCCCAGCATGTGCATGGCCCTGGATTTGATTGCCAGCACAAGGTCAGGGACTGTTTGTGTATGTTTGTTTATATTTTCTTACAATTTGCAGTCAAACAAGAAAATTTATGTGCTGATATCTAGTATTTGAAATATCCTCTGGTTCTTTAATTTTCTAAAAATAACAGAATGTCACACACATAAAGGTACTAACACCTGACTTATTCATGAATATTATATGGAAAAATAAATAAAATGCCACCTATTTCTGGAAGCTTAGATGTGGTTGAATGTAATACAAGGAATTAGGAATGAACAGATATGCCAATCTAGTTCTCTACATGAAGAGTTGTGAATATGAAGTAAAGTATGTGTTTACTAATGCTACAATACCTGCCTTAGAAATAAAGACAAATGAGGTCTTCAAACGGAAAAATTAAACTAGAACAAATATATCTCATTAACAAACCAGTCAATTCCCTTTATTTTTAAAATTTTATGTACACATGTGAATGATCTGTATAATGTACATTCAATATAGAAAGCTTTATATATTTGATAATGTATAGAACATTTCACAATTACACTAATGTCTTACATAACAGCTTGACAACCAATTTTTTTTTTTTTTGCACAAGCTCCTTTTCATTCAATTTAGTAAAGCCAGTTATACATACCAATGTGTACTGTGAGCTCTCACAGGGTTAATGACTGAGGATACCAGTGACCAGGTATAGGGACAAAAACCTCATAATTATGGATGGTGGGAAGAGGACAGCCCTGAAGACCTGATGCAGAAGACTTTCTAGGGACGAGTGACAGCCCAATTTCTGTAGACTGTAGGTTAAGCCCACAGTCACACTAATTCAAAAAAACATTATAAAAACTAGGAAGAAAGTTTTGTCTTTTTGATTCACAGTTTTGTAAACAGATAAAAAGGAACAAAATGTGCTTACATACATCAAGGAAAAATATTCTTGTGTATACACTTATGTTGATCCACAGAGAGCTTTCTCATAATGTGATACCATTAGAATCATTGACATTTTCCCTAAATAAAAAATATAGTTGTAGAAAAAGGAATAACACTGTCATGAAACCAGGAGAAAGGCAGTAAGAGTTTGCTTCAACGTATCAGCTTGAGGAATGTGGACTCGGCACTGGCACTGGCATTTATAGTCTTTCATGAGTATTTTCAAGTCTGATAGCCAAGGTCACCTGCCTCATGGTCTACAGGAGGTGGCAGGTTAGACATGACTGATGAGGATGTACCTGCAGTAAGGTAGCCAGCAACTCCAGGTCCTGCAAGAGAGAAGGAAAAGACATCTAGAAAGCACAATCACATAAAAACACTGATCTTTACAAAAGGACACAGTCTCTGGTCAGATGCCCTAGCAAAAGAAACTGATAATCAATGAGAATTATCTAAATGTACAAGTGTACCTCAAAGACAGATACATGGCACCATTTTTATAATTTGCCTTTACTATGTGATAAAGTTAAAAATCATTTCAAAATTTATGCTGGACAATAATAACACTGGTGCAAAAATATAGAAAAAATTTTCCTTCTCATATCTGGGAAGTTCAATCTTTGAAAAAAATTCTGGGCAATGAAAGCACTATGTCAAATGATGGGAAAAAAAAAATCAAACAAACTCCCAAAATGAAAAACCCTGCACATTCAACCCATCCAAAAGTCATACATGATGAAATTCTCAAACACTTCAGTTAACATTCAAGTTAAACTATTTTCATTTGGTGCAAAGAAATGCTGTTCTAACAAGTTAACACCAAATGAACAAGGGTTGCTACACCAAGGTCTCTGAGAAAGAAAAGGAAGGTTCTGGACATCCATCTCTCACAGGGCAAAACAAGAATGCTCTGAAAAGAGGTATCAATATTTTAGTATTATATATCTTCTTTGATGCTAACAGTCTCTATTGCATGAATATGCTACACATACACATGCTAGCATTTATCAAGATACATCCTATGTGCATATTAATGGGTTTAGCAGCCCCCTAGTTTAAACACTGCACAGACATTTAATTACATCTCAGAAGCACTGCACAAATTTTAACAAGTAATTGCAAGATAAACTGTAGCATAATACTGCATACTGAGCAATATTTTTAGTTGAAATTGTAGGAAACATGGCAAATGACTACAGGACACTGGAATATCAAAGGGTTAGGACTAGAAAGGCAGGGGAAGCAGCATGCATTTAGCAAAACGATTCTCTACCTGCTTCAGAGAGCTACACAGAAGTTAGCAAGCTGCCTGGCAGAGCGGATCTAAAGCCCACTCCTGAGGTGAAGGGGGCTGCTGCCAGTTAGAAGGGAAGGAGAGACACCTGAAGGGGAAAAAAGAAATATAAGCAGCAAGGGAAGTTGTGAGGAAGTGCAAACAGCAGAGCAGTCTGATGAAGGCTAAGGCATAACAGGACTAATGTAAGACAAAAGGTCATGATTCAGATTTGTCTTGCTTCTCACCTTATGAGCACTTGTACTGTGGATTTCTGAAAAGGCTTGTATAGATACTGTATGTGTGGTTACACTGCCAGAGATGATTCAGCTTGCATGAGTGGTAACAAAAGCCAACCAGAGTACCCAGGTACTTGGAGTTTTGTACTTACAAAACATATAAAAAGGATGTCCCTTTTTAAGGTACCACAGGGGCCTGCACCTATCAACACCACCTTCTACCATGTAAGGCCAGGCCTTACATGGACTACTCAGACAAAAGATTATGAGGTCAACAAACCTGCCCAACAAGGCGGTATATAGCATCAACCTGTTATTTTATGTCCCACCAACCAATCGTTGTCTAAATAATAGGCAGAGAAGAGATTACTACAAAACTACTATATAGGGCTCAAAAAAGATGTAGTCCTTCTGAGTAAAATCTCAAACACTCCAGGTTGGTATGATTCCTGAGCAACTGTGACTGTGGGCTCAATTTAGTTCATACCAAAATGGTAGTTTTTGAGATTAAACCATGAATACTACACATACAAGGTGAACTAATGCTATAATTTTCTAAATGAGTGCTAGGGCACCCTGGGCAAATTAATAGAGGTACTGCTGGGTATTTTAAAATTTGAAACAGCAACACTTGTTCACCACCATAGTCATACAAATAACTACTTTCCAGTTACTGGGTATAACTTCATAAACTTGTAGGTATTTCTTTTGGCCTAGGCTGGATGAAAAATGTTACTGAGACAATAAGGGCATTGTGAACTGAGAAAATTTGAGAACTTCTAGGTTAATATCTAAATCGTGAAAGGATAGGCTTAGAAGGAAGAAATCTAATTCAAACCCTATGATTTGCCTCTTAGGAAAAGCAAATCAATTTTTGTATATTTCTGCAAATGAAGTCTGAAATGTTCACCTGCTGGCCTCTGGTTTCTCCTTGATGACACATCTGGATTCTTGGGGCCAATAGGTACTGCCTGGTCATCAGGATGCGACAAAGTAGTTATGTTCTCCAGAGAAAAGTGGGAAGAAGGAGCAGAGGTGCCAGAGCACATGGAAATATAGTACAAGGATACTGAATTTCAGACGTATGGGAAAAAATGGAAAATTAAAGAATCCCACAAAATGAAATTGGCTACTCTGATGAATTATATTTATGAATAGTTCATCTCCAATTTCAGCTACTAAAAGCATTTTCAATTTGGGGTCCTTTTTCCCCCCTGCTGTTTTTATTGTTGCTACTGATTTCTGAGTGAGGTAATTTGAGGGTTTTCTCTGCTGAAATTATTTCTATAGGGCTCTGAGCTTGCTGGCAAGGTGCTCTTCTAGAATTTAATAAATGGCCAAGTAATTGTGGGCCCTGGATAAGGAGCAGCCACAGTGTAACTACATGACAGGATAAACCCAACTAAAGTACTTTTAAATACGCATTTGTCATAAAACCAAACAATATTCCAGTCTAGAGAACCTATGGAAATAAGCAGTCTCACTGTAATTTATCAACACTTGAGTGACCCTACCTAGGACTTTTGAAATTTTATCTCAAATCTTGAGCATGTGACAAGTAACATTTGCTCAGTGGTCAGCTAAAGCAAAATCATAAAAGCATCTTTGGTCATTCTCATCTTAGTTTGAAGCAGTTATCTTTCCTTTTCTCCCCTATTTCCTAAACAAATTCCACTCAGCTTGCCACATGTACTAAAAAAACACCCCCCCCCAAAAGGGAGGAGGTTCATTTGCAAACTGACAGGAGAGGAAATGGGCACAAACTGTTTTTTGATTAGGAGCGTCACAGGTACATTTTAATTAAAATTCTGATTCAACACAACACTGAAAATATCCTATGGAGTTTTACATAATGGGATTTTACCATTATAAGTACTTGTCCCTTTTTACTAAATTCACAACACATAATACATCAGTGGAAAAGTTCAAACACAAAAGACTTGGCAACCCAAGCAATGAGCTTGTATCAATGCAAGTAGGTATTAACTCAGGAAACAGAGGTAGTCCTTTCAAAAAGGATTGACTAAAGCAGGTAGAAAAATCTTCTATAGCAATGAACATCTCAAAAAAAGAATACCCTATATTTATGATGTGCCAACAACTGGACAGTTGTGAGGGCAACACAGCTCACAGCTAGTTCCAACTGTCCCACGTGGAACTGACTGCAGGCTTCAGCAACAGCTTTCAGAATGACATGGTAACATCAGGTTCTGCCAGGCTGAGGTTTATACCATCTTCCCTTTGGCTGTGCTTAGTTAGAAGCTGATGCCCTTTGAGACTGCCAAAGGAGGTGAATAAATCTGTAAATTTTTTTTTCCCTATCCTCTTTCAATCCCTACAGCTTATCATAGCAGCTTCTTAACATTCAGAAACTACCACAGGGATCCAAGTAAAACGAAAGGCATAGAAAGGAAGCCTGTTACTCCTCTACTCTCATAGTAGTAGGAAATTTGGATGGGTGAGGAGCAAAATAACTAGGAAATTTGAATGGGGTGAGGACCAAAGGAAGGTCAGGTCTCTGAAGATAAATGTCTCTCTCTTCTATAATCTACAGACCTGCTGGCCCAAAGACTGTCAATTAAGTCTAGGACACTTGTAGTTTTTTATTTCAAGTCAATGAATGCTAAATGCAAGGGAGAACAACAACAAAAACATTAGAAAAGGCATTCCTGGAGAGAAATTTATAATCTACACAATACTACTTATTGATCAGCTTCTAAATAAATCTACTCTTAGCTAAGAAAAACAAGACAGATATTTCCAATCACACCATTCTTCTATACAAAGTAATGAATGCAATGCCATGAAATATGGTATATGAACTTCTGGAAACATTGTCAAGAGGTAGTTTTCAGTGTGCCTTGTAAGAACACACTTCTTGCCTGGAAACTATCACTTCATCCCAAATTTGAAAGACAGATGCAGGGCTGAATAAAACCATAGCTTAGGTATTTCTCTACAGAAACCAGGAACAGGAGATGGAAAAGTGAGAAGGAAAATCTGTGGAACTCTCTTTACACACACAGGAACAATGGCCAAAGTATCACATATTTATAAATTCTAGGGCTCTATTCCAACTAATAGTGAAAGAAAAACAGTACTGTAGCAACAAAGTCTAAAAAGAGGGCCAGGGATCATGGCTCAGTGGCTCTGTGCCTGCCTGGCAAGTGCAAGGTCCCGAGTTTGAGTCCCAGTACAGAAAAAGAAAAAAAAAGAAAAAGAAAAAGAAAAAGTCTAAACTGAAAAGCAGATGAAACTTTTTCCAAAGCATTTTTCAATATGCAAGATTCAGTCTTTGTGATTTTATAAATTTCTATATCTATAGTCGGGACTATGAAAAAATTAACACTGATATCAGAAACACCAGATATTAATTTTCTTTCTTTTTTTGAGACAGGGTCTTGCTATGTAGTTCAGGCTGGCCTTGAACTCACTATGTACCCCAGGCTGGCATCAAACTCAAGGCAATCCTCCTGCCTCAGCCTCCCAAGTGCTGGGATTACAGGTGTGTGCCACCATGCCCAGCTAGGTGTTAATTTTTTCCTCTAGATTTATCTAGATCATATATCATTTCTGGCTAGAGGATGTAAGGCTAACATTTTTTTAATATATTACTATTTTAAGCAAATGGCAAGAAATACTTTATATTCTTTTTGTGGGTGTTGATGTTTTTAGAGTACTGGGGATTGAACCCAGGGCGTTTGCACTGAACCACAATCCCAGACCTCCTTTTTTTTGAGACTGAGTCTTGCTAAGTTCCTAAATTGCCCAGGCTGGGCTCAAACTTGTGGATCCTCCTTCCTGAGCTTCCCAGAGTGCTGGGACTATAGGTAAGTGTCACCATGCTCAGCCAAAAACCACCTCATATTCTTAAGGTTCAGTTCAAACTGAAAACTTTTATACCAAACATGTATTTTATCTTTATATAATGTAACAAAGAGTGTGGCTTTGCTCTTAAACAGAAGCCAATATTAAAATTATCTAAAATTATTTTGCAATAATTTGTCAGATGGACAAATGTACTGAGGTCAAATATGTTCAAATATTTTGAACCCTAGTAGTCATCAAACAGCCTTTCATTTATGATGCCCACATATTTCCCCCAGGGGAGGACAAATCTTAAATATTTAGTGAGACTACAGACTAATCAGGAAATTAAGAAAAATATTTTACATATGATTACATGTATCTACAACATCTTTATTAATTTGGCAGAAATGGCATGATGCTACCATGCTTTTGATATTGATTTTCTTAAACAGTATTTCTCCATCGTTTTTACATGATCAAGACAAACATTTTAATAAAGACATGCTCCAAATATAACGTACACCACCATTCAAAACTGAATCAAGTATGTATTTCAGTTAATACACATTCATGCTGTCCAAGGCTACAAACAGGTCTACTATATACTCACAGCACCTGCAAGAAAGGTCAGCCAGAAGCCTAGGAAAATACTCTGAATTCTATTTTATGTCTATTCAGGACAAAAGTAAAGTCAAAGTGGCTTCTACGAGGTGCCTTAGGATGAACAATTAGGTATAACTTACCTGTGAGGTATCCTGCTGTTTGTGAGTCAGAAATGAACAAATCATGTTTCTGATCTTTGAAGGCACTCCAGACTGAAGAACGAGATAGGATTTCATTCACCTAGGAAGTAAAACAACCTCTATTAGAGGTTTATGAACTCAAGAGAATGATGCACAGCACACTTGAGGAAAAAAATGAATATAGACAGCATTAGAGTATCATATGCAAAATGGGTAAATGATGCTCTGTGAAATATATACATATCAGTACGCATACTAAGATGAAAGACAGCACTGTGTATTCCAACACCTACAGCTTATCATAGCTGCTTCTCACATTCAGTAGCTATCATGGGGATTCAAGTAGAAGGAATGGCATAGAAAATGAGAGATATCTCTGTGACACAAGTAAACATGTTTAGGAAATACCAACACAGAGGATGCATTTTCCAAATGAACATTCAGTTTAAATAATTTTTGAGCACCTTTTATCTAGTAAGCACAGTGAACACAATGACAGTCTCTTGACTTTGAAGTTACAAGGAAAGCTCAGGGAGTCTAGTAAGGTAGTGCTACAAAATTTACTGGTAAGCATTACAGATGTACATGGGGACCATGTGAGTCCAAGGGATGCAGCTGCCCAACCTTGGAAAGAAGCAAAAATAGGAGTGGTTAGTTGTGAAGGTGGTAGAAGCAGTCCTATTCTGGAATGTATTGTATTTCTCTGCTTCATTCCTTTGAGACTGGAAGGAGGGTGTCAGGGTTACCCTGCTAATTTCACTACCAGGAGTCCTCAGGCAGAAAAAGAGGAGAACTAACTGCCTGCAAATGGTACACAAAAGCGCCCTTGCTTAGTGTTCATAGCAATCCCTCCTAAAACAAACAAACAAACAAACACCCTGAAATACTTTAAAAAGGGCTGAAGGGGAGGGGAATGGGGAAAAAAAAGAATCAAGATATATTATGTACAGGTACACATTCCCTATGATGAATATTATCATTATGTGTAACAAAAGTGTACCAATAAAATTAATTTTAAAAATAAATCATTTAAAAGGATTAAAATAAGAATATCTACTGGGAACTAGATTTAATAGTTTAACCCTCCTATCTTCTGCTTTTAACACATTACAATGACTATACATGACATTTATATCTCTAAAACTGTTTATATTCAATAAATAGCAAAGTATAGTATATATATATGTGTGTGTGTGTGTGCTATCAGTGGTATTTAAAAAAAAAATCTTTTGGTCTTTCTCCATATCTGACTGTTGTAATACTGGCTTCATTAATCAGGAAACCTAAGAGCATGTGAAGACTCTAAAAAAGAAATTTTTTGTGTGGTATGTTAAATAAACATATATAATAATGTGTTACATAATAATAATATGTTAAACAAAGCACTATCTTTAGTCTGACCACTTCCTTAGAGCAAAAAAACCTAGGAAGTGGTCTCAGCGATGACTATGCCAGTCTCTGCACACTTCCCAGAGGAGACTGATGTTCAGATTTTTTTCAGCAAATAACACGACTACAGTGGAACCAGAATGCACTCTGCTGTGCCATCTCTGACTGTAAAGGACAGCTTCCTTGTCTGGGCTGATCAAGTCCTTTCACAGTAAATCGAACTAATTAGAGCTACCCTCAGCCACGGCCCTGGAACGTGAAGCAGCACTTGTGGCAAGTGACACAGATCACCAAGATAAACTGAGTGGTAGCTGGAGGCTTGGAGAGGTGGGCTCAACAGTATAGAGAGGCCGAATAGAGGCTGATCAAATGTGTTATGAGCATACAAGCATTAGAGATTATAATTAGAAATAAAGCTGGAAAATGTAAAAAAAAAAAACAAAACCTTTAAAAAACATACTAGTTAATGATTACAGCAACATATGCTGCATATGTTGCATTTAAATGCATTCAAATGATTGCATTTTAAATGATTCACTTTTTTTTTTTTTTGGTACCGGGGATCGAACTCAGGTCCTTGCACTTGTGGGGCAGGCGGTGGAACCACTGAGCTAAATCCCCGGCCCACATTTTAAATGATTCAAATGTTGATACTGATAGACATGACAATGCTATTGAAATGCTTATTTTCTTGAAACATACAATCCTAGTGGATTTACTAAAGGAAAGCTTTAGCTGCAGCAAATTTAAACCTATAAAAGACTATTAGGACTTTTAACTTTTGAACCCTACTGCTAAAAAGAGCCATTGAAAAGACCTTCAGAAGATTGCTGTTCAGAAGTTCAATTATTAAATTATCTAAGTGGAGGAGCAAATGCTTTGCCTATCAGTCTACATATTAAGTTATGCTCAATGATAATACAAGTATTATTAGAGCACCTGGAAGGTTTCTGGGAGTGGAGAGTGTTAATGGAAATGTGTAAACTGGATTGTCCACAAAATCAAATTACTAAAATACTAAACGCAAAATGAGAAATTGTCACAGAAAGCAGAGAAAAAGGAAAAGAAACTGAGATAAGAAAATGGGAGAAAAAGAGACCTACACACAAGGTCTATCCAGAAGAAGCAATCAATGTGTAAGAGGAATGCCTGAAACAGAGGACAAAGCAAATGATGGTGAAACAAGGAATTAATTGAAGAAAGCTGTACAAAGTAGGCCTATAAATGGAACAGGCTCATCAGGTAGCTTTAAAATTTAACGAAAAGAAAGCAACACCGAAGTGTTATAAGTACCCAGACGGAGAATGCAAGTTACATATAAAGGGGCGAAAGGCAGGCTGACTCAAGATTTTTCCTTTGCAATTCTAAATGCCAGAAGATAATACAACAGTATCTACAGAGTTTTGAAGGAAAATGACTTTGAGGCAAGAATTATATATCCTCTAAGTAATTATTTCTGTATGAAGGGAACTGGAGGACACATTCTCAGATTATCTAGGGGTTAAGAACCTTCTCTGACAAATTTGCTGAATGGTTTACTATAGCCAACAGAGAACATGAATTAAAAATAAAGAGTAGGTAAGCATTAAAAGTAGTTAAACAGCCTGAAGTCTAAAATTGTTACATATAAGGTAATAAAACTGCAAAAACAGATTTGTAAGGCAGATCTAAAATTTTCAGTTTAAGTAGTTTTAAACTGTCAAAGAGCATACCAAACATTCAGTGTATTGGGCAGATACATATTGTTTTATTTTTTGCCATGTAGTATTATAAAGACAAATGTTAAGTAATCCTTCAGTTAAAAAAATAAATGCAGCAAAAAAAAAAAAAAAAGAAAGAAAATATTAGTAGGTGGAAACAAATCAAATATTTATAAATGGCTGAATGGATAAACAAAGTATTATATATATACACAATGAAATATTATTTAGACATAAAAAGGAATGAAACATTGATACATGCTACAAAATGAATGGAACTTAAGAAACATGTTAAGTGAGAGAAGTCAGGTATAAAAAGTCATCTACAGTATGATTCCATTTATGTGAAATACTCAGAATAGGAAAATACAGAGAACAGTTTAGTGGTTGCCAGGGGTTGGGGGGCAAGAGACAGTGAGAGTAAATGCATAGGAGGGATGATGGGGTAATGAAAACATTTTGAAAGTAGATAAAGGTGGTATTTGTACAACACTGCTAATATGTGCTAAGTGCCAGTTAATTACTCAGCATAAAATAAATTTATGCTATGTAAAGTTCACTTCAATAAAAAGAAAAGACCATTAGTAGACAAGGCATACACTATACTGAAGGAAGAACTCAGAGGCAACAGGTCTGAGGTTAACATATGCATGTAGCTGAAACACATTAATACATTTCTAAGTCATAAAAGAAAAAGGAAACCAACACTTTACAAATACTAACTATGGAGAAGAAAACTAAAATGAAACAGTCTTTTAAAATAGCACATGAGATGGTTAATGAATGTGGTTAACACTACCCATCAGTAACTCTTAGAACTTCAAGTTAATCTTAACCAGTAATACGTGCTGAATATTGTTCCACACTCATAAATTTCAACATTTTTCCGAAAATCCACAACATTCCATGACTATCCAGAAAAAGAATCCTCCTGACTCTGTAGAGTATGCAGTTTGTGCTTTTCTGTCAGTTATAAGGCAGCTATACACACATTCATCCTTGGTCTTCAGTTCAAGTTGCAGTCAACAGAATCACACTTCACTATAATCAGCAGATTGCCTCTTGCAGACTCACCTGTTCTCCATACTGCAGGCTTCGAGTCATAGCCTTGAGAGCTTTCACAATCTGAGCCTTAGTGGCAGCTGGGCTATCCAGAGTTTCGAGGCCTATGCCTTCAAGTAATTTTAAGAGGTATGGAACCAAATCTGCTTTCAGGGCCTAGAAGCAATATTAAACATATATAACCATATTGAAAAGATTGTAAACTATTCACTAAAGGTACAATTTCACTCCCAGGACTATACCTGGAAGAAGAGCAATCTACTTTCACAGTATTTTAATGCCAGATAGATTTTTGTTTAAACATCTAATGATAATGAAATTCCTATTTAATGAGACTGTTCTGTGCCATCATCTGTTCTAAATGCTATACATCAATTATTTTACTAGTCCCAGTACCTATTAGGGACTATTACTATTACAAATGGAATAATTAACGTCGAGAGGGAAGAAACATGTTCACAAGCAGAGAGGTGGGCAGTAATGGAATCTGGATCTAGATCTAAGAAAGTCAGAACCTGAGCTTTTAGGTAGTATACTGAGCTACCTGTTCAGGAGCCATACTACATAGGCAACATCTCTGAAATACCTGAATATTTTTCCACGTTGTGCTAAAATATCAGCTGTTTATAGTCATCAATCTTTTCATATAAACCTAATGAAACCTGGCATGACACAATTTTCACTGGAATTCAAAGGAAAGAGATGAAAGTAACTGACAGTGAATGTGAGGTACTCTGTGAGGTACTCATAACTTTTACAGATAAGGAATGTGGGCATTGCAAGGTTAAATATCATGCCTGAGGTCAGAGAGACATCAGGTGGTATACTAGAACTCATGTTCTTTTCAATCAAAAGTTTGAACCTCAGAGCATCTACTACCTTTGAGATGGATCTAATACTTTGGCCTGTTTAAATGAGGGAGAGTAAGGTGAGGGGAGGATAGCAGGAAAAGGGGTCAGGAAATAGGAGGTCCAGATCATAAAGATGTAGATTCTTGTCTTCGGGCTAAAAATTTCAGACATCATTTTGCTATCTGGCAGGTTAATGAGAAATCATAAAAGAGTTTTTAAGACAGGGTGACCAAAGTTAATACTTTAAAATATACATAAATACACACATGCATATATACATATATTTACACACATATGTATATACATATACATGTATTTACATACATATGTATATATATACATGTATATACATGTAGAATACGAAGTGAAATTATGATACAAGTATACAATGTGGAATGATTAAATCAACCTAAGTAGCGTATCTATTGCTTTTAATATTTTTCATTATGAGAGCATTTAAAATACCTAAAATTTACTCTTAGCAGTTTTGAAATATACATTATTATTAACTATAATCACAATGCTGTGCAAAAAAAAAAAAAAATCTCAATTAAGCCATTACTCCTAGCCAGGCATGGTGGCACAAGCATGTAATTCCAGTAGTCTGCAAGGCTGAATTAGGAGGATCACAAGTTCAGGCCTAGCCTGGGGAATTTAATGAGACTCTTAAAATAAGTTACTTTTCTAAACTGAAACTTTTACCTTTGATCAATACCTTCCCATTCTTTCCACATCACTCTGGTAACCACCATTCTTCTCTCTGCTTCCATAACGCTGACTGCTTTAGATTTCATTTACAATTGACATTATGTAGTATTTGTTCTTAGAGTTTACTTTAGATCACTTTTGCAAGTTTTAAAATTTATATTTCTCATTCTTTCAATATCTGTCTATACCAACACTCACAAAATCCGATTTTCATTTGGGGAACAGTTCCTTTGAAAAGGACAATAAAGATCGTGGAATGCTCTAAAACATGACTTAAGAAACAAAGGGATGAATAAATAATGACTTTTTCCAAAGATGACAAAGCAAACTTTGCAAAGCAACCCCAAAATGGCCAAAAACCTAAACATCACAAAAATACTTCCACACTGGTAAAACTTTGGCAACCGGTCCTACTTTTTTTTCCTCTGTGTACATATACAACCATGTGCATATGTAAAATGCAAAATGAGACATGAACAAACTCGTAAGTTATCTCTCACTGAACTTCAGTTCTTATGCCTGGTATGTTCGTTTTTCAAAAATGGTAATGAACCTAGAAATTCACTTACTTGTGCAACTAATTCACTCTGTTCCTTCTGAAACATTCGATTAATTGCTTCACAGGCTAGACCAACAGTATCTGCTCGCTTTTTCATACCATTCATCAGTGGGCCAATAGTTTCTAAAGATGCCATGGCTCGAACACACAGCTAAGTGCACAAATCAGAAAGGTTATTTGTAGTAGTAATATTGTACATAGATAGTATATACCATAACAACAGAATTTTAGAAAATCTACTTCCAAGTTTAATAATGAACTAAGTCAAATTCTCCTATTAATTATTAATTCTTAAAACAGTTAAAATTATATAAAGTATCACGTGGCTCATATGTGAAAAGGCACATGGTAGAAAGGGATTTATACTATAACGTGTGTGAGTTCAGAACAGGGAGCATAAATGCTTGAGCTACAAGATTCTGAACAGTACCTCATTTTCAGACAGGGCATGGATAACCCGAATGGCACTCTTAGGAATGGCATTGTTTCTGTGATTCATTGCCTGGATGATTTTGGGAAGATGGCCCAATGGTGGGACTTGATCTGCCAGCTGAGGCTGCGCATTGAACAGACACACTGTTGCCATTGTCAACGTTTCCAGAGTTTCCCCCTAGAAAATACAGAACAAAGCAACCAAAACAAACTATAAAATACTGAAGTCCTCAATATCTTTGGAAATAATGTGTTAGGAGTTCAAAATGTCTAAGTGATGATCCATGCAAACTGATTCATAAATCCTAAATGAAAAATAAACTCATTTTCTTTGATAATAGGTACAAATGCAAAGGGCTTAAAAATGTGCTACCTTAACCTAAACTTCTTTTCACTAGGCCATATATATCTCATTTCTACTGCAGGAGTAAGACATCATTTCCCAAAAGATATTACTAGAAATGTTTATAAACAATGTGATGGATATAACAGTGCCAGAAAACAGTAATAATACAGGAGAATGCTGAAAAAGTGAAATATTTTCCAGTTCTATTAAAAACCCTACTGCAGGTTAAGTATCCCCTAGCTGAAATGCTTATTATGATCAGAAGGGTTTCAAAGGTTGGAGAGTTTTTGTTTGTTTTTTTGGTTTTAGAACACCAGGATAAACTTTGTCAGCTAAATATCACTAACCAAAAATCCAAAATCTAAAATACTCTGAAATTTGAAACTTGACACTGACATGACATTCAAAAAATTTCTGATTTTAGAGCATTTTCAATTTTCAGATTAAGGATGTTCCACCTGTATTTAACATGTCTGGCTGCCATAAAGCACTTTCTATTGTGGATACTGGACTGCAAAGACCCACAGCTTTTACTCTTACATGCACACATATATATTCCTAACCAAATACTTCTTAAATGAACATGGAGATTAGGATGCACCCAAAAGGAAAGGTGACATAGGAATAAATTGTTATGTACTCTCCCTTTCTAGGTTTCAGCTTTTAAGGACTTTCTTTCCTTCTCTCTCTCTTTTTTTTCCCCAGAGTGGGGGTTGGGGGGGCAGGCTAAGGATTGAACCCAGGACCTCCACTGTGCTAAGCGATGCATCCTCCTACACTAGTCCTGAGGATTTTCATTTTCCAAGCAAATTATGAAGTTTTAAGAGAATGTGATTGTGTTCAGTATGTTTGGCAAACTCTTTGAAATGTTTTGTTGAAGACTGAAGCTTACATGAGGACTGTTCTTCTCAAGGAGTTCAGTTAATTTTTCCAGTAGTTCAATAAGAAATTCTCTAGGCTTTCTTAGAACCCAAGCTGGTTGTGCAATAAAGATCCTCAAGAAAACTCCTCCAACAGCCAGTTCACCCTCTGCTTCTCCAAACACCACCGCAAAATCCTCAGGCAACTTTAAACAGAGAATCATGTAAGTCACTTAAAGTTATTATTTGCACATGGAGCAAGTCCTACCAAAACTATAACAGTATCCATAGATAACCACTGATAAAATTATAATTATGTTTTATGTCTCTTAATAAAGCTCAACAGATTTTTATGAATTACATAAAAAATGAGTGGTCCTACTTTTATGTTTGAAGTTTTATTTCCCAGAGGAACATGCAACTTTCTTAATGACAAAACGATTATAGGCTGACATTAAACTGGCTCAGGAGGAATTAAAAAACAAAAAACAAAAAACTGTATTTTACCTTCCAGTTTATATCAGGGTTGTCCTGCTGGCTTCTAAAGTGCCTGGGGAAAGGAGGTTGGGTGGGGTGGGGAGAATATTAAACTTTAGTCACAAAACACTTTCATTAACCTTTAGAATAAGTCTTACAGAGGGATAAGCAGAGTGGGAAAAGTTTGCCCTCCCCAGTGATTTTATCTAAAGGCCTGAAGTTATTATCTTTTTCTTTACTTACTCTAGCATCATTTCTCTCACTGTTGTAGACACTTTATCTCTGGAACTATCATTCCAAATTAACTCAGGATTTTCATGTGTTCCTTCAAAAATATGTACAGCAGCTTCAGGATTGTCTCTCATAGCATCCATGAAAACGCTAGGCAGAAATTTCATTAATGTAATTCGAACCTACAGGAGGAGATTTGAGAAAGAAAACAAGATCTATTGGAAACATCTCAATATTTGGTGTGCTTTTCACAATTTTCTAAGATAGATTATTATTAGTACAATTTGTGTTGTGGCTGACGTGGGAAATTATTACAGTACTTACAAGCTCTGGAATGGGAGAAAAGGTTCATCCAATGGAACTTTTAACAAGATTTGTTATGACCTGGCCCTACTGATCTAACAAGCTTCCCTTCCATTCCTTGACTCATTTTTAAGAAATATTAAGAAATTCAAAAAAAAAAAAAAAAAGAAGAAATTCAGAAGCTCTGGTGTGTAAAGTTCCTAGAGCACCCCCTGCTGGGCCTTGCATGTGCTGCTGCTACTTTCTAGAAGGCCTTTAGCTGGCTTGTCCTTCCAACACTCTCACTTCCTCCCACACTCATAAACTTAAGCTCTTCTCTTGCTACCTTTGTGTCTTGCAAGTATTTTTTAGTGTATTTATTTTGCTCTACTCTGTTTTGTGTTATACTGTGCCTTTTTCCAAGATATATGAAAAGTAGCTTAAGAAAACACATCTACAGCACACACTACACACACACTGAAAATGAGTGTGAGACATAAGAACAAAAGGAAAACAAAGGGTGGGAAGGTGGGTATTTTACTTCAGGGCCTCATATAGTCCACCATGTCAAATTCTGTGCCCAAATTTTAACTTCTGGAAACCTTCCTTGAACTGGTCTGTCTTGCTCATTGTTTTATCTCCTCAGCTCTTGGCACATAGCAGGTGCTGACCTATTTGGAGATAAGTTATCCAGAGTGACTAAGGTAAGTGAGTGGCCCCAGGACTATGTTTCACAAAATGAGTTTTGTTCATTATATTGTGCTGCCATTTTGCTATACCTGGCCAATTTTACTGCATCTTTAATAGAACTACTTGTTTTAGTAGTTTTTATCAAAATCATTTTCCAGAAGATACTTGGACATTTAATTATAAGCCAACTTAATTCTTTTGCTGTTGGTAAACACTGAGAACACTGCTTAAGGCATTCTACATGAATTTTAGGACATATATATCTGATACATTTTATTGTATATTACATTCCAGTATTTTTAACTAGTAACTAATGTATTGGACAACTAATAATCAATCTTCCATTTTAAAATATTTTTAATGCTTGAAATTAAATTATCTTTATGGCAAGAAAACTAAATTTGAAGAAATAAGCTTTCTATAACCCAACCACTTGTATACTTATAAGCTGTATCTGCAAGCTGTCAGTACAGAAATCTGTTGACAAGTTTGATAAATTTCAATTGTCTTAGATTTTAGACTTATATTTATGAATATTCAGTTTTTATAAAAGCATACTTCAGTTTTACTTAACTGTCTTAACAGTCTTCTAAATTTATCTAGTCTACTATGATTGGATACTTAAAACAAAAGGCACATTAAGTTATTCAACTATCTCCATCTGTACAAATCATAAAGTCTCATCCTATTAGGTATCTTAGAATGCTTGTTTTGTCATCAAATTTAATGTACTACCCAAGTCTACTCATTTGTAAAAAGTGGTATTAAACCAAGCTTACAAAGACTTTTGAAGTATTTCAAGTGCTAAGAACTATACAAGGTGATCATTCACGAGTAAACTACTAAATACTTGTGCAAAAATTGTACATACAGCAAATTCTTTTACATAAATCTTCACAGTTATGTTTATGTCAGCCAGCTATTCTAGAACAGGGGCTGGCAAAGGAGGAAACAATCTATTCTGCCATCTATTTTACATATAAAATTTTACTGGAACACAGGTACATCCATTTGTAATATGCCATCTATGGCTGCTTTCTTATTACAAAAGAAGAGTTGAATATTTGTGATAGAGACCATTTGGCCTACCAGGGATAAATACTACATGGCCCTTTACAGAAAAAGTTTATTGATCTACCTACTATATGCTACATGCACAAAATTAGCTCAAATCAAAGACTTAAATATAAGAGCTAAAATTATAAAACTCCTAAGAGATAAGATGTATAAATCTTTGTAACCCTGCATTAAACAATGGTGAGATATACATACTGTATATATATATATATGTAATAAAAATGTAATTTATAATAAAAAAAGATGAAGGGGCTAAAGCTGTAGCTCAGTGCTAAGATTACTTGCCTAGTATGCACAGAGCTCTGGGGTCAACCTCTAGTATCAGATAGATAAGACTTTATTAAAAAAATCCAAAACTTTTATGTTTCCATGGACAACATCAAGAATATGGAGCAATAATTCATAGAATGGGAGAACTATCTGCCAATAATATATATGACAAGGAACTAGTATCCAAAACATATAAAGAACAATTACAACTCAATAATAAAAAGATAAATAATCCAACTTAAAAATTGGCAATGGATGTGAATAGATATTACAGACAGCTAAGTTAGTTATAAATTATTATAAGGCAGTTGGACAAGGCTGGGGCCTTAGCACAGAAAACAACTGAGGTACATTCACTGAAGGTTAACATTAAAAAGAGAGAAACTACTACACCCATATATTTCCCCTAGGGATGAACAGCAGTAACTGATATTTTAAATAGACACCTTAATTGGGGACTAAACCATCTCTAGTCCCTTTCTTCTGGGAAATCTATGTATGCTTGCTATGTGACTAACTTCCCCATTTTATCTCCATTTAATCAATATTACCTGGACGACTGTACTTGTAATCTTATTGGTTGATCATGGTTTTGTCCCACCTCATGCTCACCTTGTGATTTTCCATCGGATCTTATAGTTTTGTCTCATTTTCCACCTGCCTCACTTTGTGGCTTTGCCTCATGAAACACCTTTGAGAAGTGCAGTGGGTAGGCAATCCACTTTAAGGTCCCCTTTTGTCTCTCTCAGGCAGAAGCTATCTTTCCCTGAATAAATTCTTCCTACTCAACCTCCTTTGTTCCTAGAATTCATTTTTCGATTTTAGAGAACATGAACTTGTGTTCAGATACCTAGAAGGTTGGGAGTTATAGTTCCCTTACATTATTTGGTGCCCTATATCATAGGCATATCTCTAAAAAGAAGTTGTACAAATAGTCAAGAAGCACATGAAAAGATATTCAACATTATCCAGGTTATTCAATCAGGAAATGCATATCAAAATAATGAGGTTCCAGTTCACACCTATTACGATGGCTGTAATACAAAATACATATATGAACAAATGTTAGGGTAGCAGAGGAAAATGAGAACTCTTATAGACTGCTGGTAGGAATGCAAAATGGTGCAGCTACTTTGGAAAACAGCTAAACAGTATTATTGATCATGTGAGCCAGAAATTCCATTCCTAATGAAACAAAAACACATGTTCACCCAAACACTTACATACAAATATTCAGAGTAATATATATATATATTTTTTTGGTACCGGGGATCGAACTCGGGACCTTGCGCTTATGAGGCAGGCAGCGGAATCACTGAGCTAAATCCCCCGCCCTGTTCACAGTAATATTATTCAGAGGGCCAATAAATACAGACAATTTGCATATCCAAAAGCATAAACTGATAAACTGTACAGTGTTATTTGGTAATAAAAAGAATGGAATACTAATACTTGCTTTAATATGGATAAATTCTGAGAATATGAGGCTAAGTGATAGAAATGAGTCACCAAAGACCAAACATTATAGGATTCCATTTGTATGAAATGCCAGGGTAAGCAAATCTAGAGAGACAGAAAGTAAACTAGTATTGCTAGGTCCTGGGGAGGAGAGAGAATAGAGACCAGTGAAATAAGAGAAAAACCAGCGTGGGGTTATGGGGTTTCTTTTGGGGTTGAAGAAAATGTTTTAACATTCTTTATGGTTGCTAAATCTGCGACTACGAAAAGCCACTGAATTGTATGGTAGGTCATTTACATCTCAATAAAGCTGCAAAAAAGGAAAAATAAAAGTTTATAGATCTCAGCTCTAGAAGCTTTTGCTGCAAATAAGGAACATCTGATGTTCTATTTTTCTTGTACAGAAAATTTAAGATTTACCTTGGTAATATTTGTCCCTTAAGTATTTCAAAGTCCAAAAACTACTACTGAAGAGCTCAATTCTAGTATATACTTTAAAATCAAAAATGATATTTAAAACATCTAATAGTAGGCATTACAGTTAGGTGCTACCCAACTCTGGTTTTAAGAAAATTCAAAACTAACTGCCAATATTCATTATTTTGAGGATCATTCTACAGGCATTCAAATGAATTCCCTTGTCTCAACAACCTTGTGTTAGATGATTACTTATTCCTAAAGTAAAACTGTTTTAGGTTCTATGACACATTCTCAATACCTAGACTGAGAGCTCAAACAAAACACAAAACTGTTATATAAGTACCGCATGCTAACCGATTGCGCCACTGGAGCTCCACAAAACACAAAACTGAACCCAACTTGTTTTACTGATGTAAAAAATGTTTACTTGCCTTGAACTTTTTTCAAACTTAACTTTATATGTTTGCACAACATGTACAAGAGAAGCCACCTTTAGCTTTAGATAGAGGTCAGCTGCCTGTAGCTTTTTTCTTACTTAAAATACTTGTGAAGGTTCATTTGAAAGCAATCATTCACAAACACCAGACCAGGAAGGCTCCAAAATAATCATGTGGAAAGTGGGTTAAGAATACAAATTCCTAGGTCCCACCCCAAGTTTACTGAATCAGTCTCTGGAAATAGGGCTCATAGGCATTTACTTCAGGACTCTTCCCATGTCTCTGAGGTGCTGTTTGCTGGGCTGGCACAGAGAGTGCTTTGGTAAACATTACTTCTGTGAATCTGATTTAATAACAGGATTAGGGGACTGTGATTACATCTGTATGTGAATAAAATTCTACTCAAAAGTAATTGTTTTAATAGGTTCCTGATCTCCAAACTGGAGGTTTCAGATATCATGTGGTCATCTTTAAATTTGGAATTAAGGATCTCCCTCTAGAGTGGGAAGGCAGAGGTGCCATTACCTCAGGTCCCCATATGGCCTCACTTCCTGCTGGTATCATATCCTTACTGATTCAGGTGTGGAATGTAAAAGACACAGATCATCGTCTCCCTCATTAGCTACTTCCAAAAGACAATCCTCAGTGTCACAACCTAAATATGCTTTTGATAACAATCCTCTGTCATAACCTAGATATGTTTCTGATCTCTCTTTAAGGGAGATGAACAATTTATCACCACAATACACAAACACTCTTTAAGACTTCTCAATTCTGGTGCAGGCATTCTTAATTAGTTTTCTCATATGTAATATACAGCAACAACTTCACATATGTCAATCTTCCAACTTTCACATCAAATCATTTTATCTGAACCACCTCAAATGAACTCCATGAAATTAGTATCACACTTCATGAAATGAATATCAAACAGACTTCTGATGGTTAATTTCTTTCCAAGAACTTATTTTGTGCTCACCTTTGGACCTATTAGTTTATCCACTGTCATTTTGGCAAAAAGTTCCGCTGTCTGGGTTCGAACCTGAGGATGTGTTGAATTGCAGAACATATCCAATAAATAAATCAAAGCTCCTATGAAGCAAAAAGCAGAACAAAAAAACCCAACTAGTGTTTATGTTATATGCAGAGAATATGAGTTTTCTAATCAGAATTTCTTTTCAATCTTATTTCAAATCAATGCACTTAGATTTTTTTTTTTGGAAACAGGGTCTTGCAATATAGTTCAGGCTGGCCTTCAAGTTATGGTTATCCTTCTGCCTCAGCCTCCCAAGTGTTGGGATTATAGGTGTGTACTACCACATCTGGTCAGTTTTTTTGTTTTTGTACCAATGATCAAACTTGGGACCTTGCGCTTGCAAGGCAGGCGGCCAAACCACTGAGCTAAATCCCTGGCCTCTGGTCAGTTTTTTTTAAAATCTAAGGTCCAGGCTGCCCTTGACCTCCTGGCATTATGGAATCTTCCTCAGCCTCCTAAAAAGCTGAGACTATAGGAATGTATCACAACACAAGCCATCAGTTTAACTATTTTACTTGCAATACTTTCAAAGCATTCTTTCTAGTTTATCAGACTACAAAGCAGCTAAAAATAAACCTCATTATATTGAACATGACTCAATAAGAACTATACATTACCCTTTGCCATCGCTTCTTTGATTATCTTTGTACTTGATGCCAAAGCATAAAGAGTTTCCAGAACAAGCTGCCGACCTGCAGAGTAAAAAAACATTGCAAGGAATACATCTACTCATTAATTTACATTTACTGGGCATCAACTCTGGGCCAAGCTCTTACCTAGATGTTCTACACAGGGTTTCATGTTTAATCTTCACAATAACAAGCACAACAAGCACTATAATGGCTACATTATGAGTGAGGAAATGGGTGCAGTTTACCCAAACCAAGGTTTCACAGCTAGTGAGCGAGACAGCCCATACTCTTTACCACAGTATTATCCTATCTTCCCACTTCACTGTTTTACTACACACTCAACTGCCTAAAATCCAGATGATACCTATTAGGCATCTAAGATTTTTACCTGGTTATGAGTGTGGACTTAGGGAAACAAGGAAGAAGTAGCAATTTTAGGACATAACAGCATCTTTCTGGACACAGCCTGTGTACATCTCACCCAGTTGCTGCAATATCTGGACTATTGGACTTTGCATTTCTAGAGTCAAATGGGAATGACAGACAGGAGCCCAAAAGAATAAAGAACTGGCAAAGAAGAGAGAGGCTACAAAGTACTAGGCTGAGGCTAAAATAATAACGTTCCCCTGGCAAACAGTGGAAGGCTGAAAACTTAGTTTAAATTATAAATGATGGCAGAGTAGGCTGAAATATCTAGATGGTCAGCTACTTTATTTGTAAGATTAAAATATTCACTATACTATACAAATGAGATACAGATTTCTACTTTCAAAGTATGATTTCTGTAACATTTTTTACTTTACCAACTAGTTTAGTTTTGCATTGTTTGAAGTGTCACAAAGTTATTGAAACCCAATAATAAAAAAACACTAAGTTTGTAGGCATAATAAAAATAATCTACAAATGACTTCACACTCGCTATTTTAAAGTGCTATTTCAAAGACATCATTTATTCAAGAAAAAAATTATTAAATGAATTCCACTAAATTTGCTGAATATAAAGAAATGCCAAATATGTGGAAGGTACTGGGAAGATGAATGAGAATGGGGTCCTACTTTCAAGGAGGTAAACAGATATGCGGCATCCAAGAATTTAGCAAAGTTGACTGAGCAATGTATTTTAGTGGTTAGTGGTTAAGGGTAGAATTATATTGTGACTGCCTGATAAACTCAATATTTGTGTTTTTTGAAGAGCAATCTCAAGGATGGTTCTAGTGCAACAATCTACTAACTAGACAACCACACAGATTCTGTTGAACCTGCATCAGTACAGGCTGAATTTAAGAAATCAGGCTCATGTGTTTTTTTTAATCATCTTGATGGTAAGAGTTTCTATCAGTATCAAATCAGTAAAAGACAAAGTATACAAGATTAAATTATAAACTGAATACCAGGTAACTTTTTATATCTTCTAGCATCTAAGATCCATTGTGTTGTTTTAATAAATTGTAACTCTCAATTATTCATGTGTAGATTATTATACTTAAACTGAAAATTCCAGGTATTTTCCTTTTATTGTTACTTTGCTCAACCTCAAGTTTCCACTTTCATATGAGAAATGCAAGATAATTTTATTAACTTATGTAAAATATAATTAGAAAGATAATTCTTGTGTAAGAATACTGCTTTAACTATTCCAAAACAACACGCATGACATTTGTCTAAGGCTTTATATCAATTATGTGACAGCCCCCTTCCTGGACTGTTCATGCTTTACTTTCCAAAATTCCATTTGTGAATATACCTACTTGATGGCAATGAATGTAGAAGGGCCAATAAACTAGACAAAACCATTGATTCTGCAATATTGTTCACACAATCTTGATTAGATGTCACTATATTCACAACCTGAAAATTAAGCAACAGGATGTTCAAAGTTTTGGAGATAATTTTAGATCTTCATCAAGTAAAGTAATATAGACTTTTCCAAAGTGAGAAAAATGTTTGGAAGACAAAATATTTAATTTTTAGACAAAAGTGTAATTTTGAAAGACTGTCTTAGATCTTTTAAGAAGTAATACCTTAAAGCTTATAAGCAATCTTCAGTCTTGTATCAGTACATGTTCCAGAGCTATTTCCAACCACAGATGTGGGATAGGGGAGGTCAGGAAGCTAATGGTCCTTATTACTGGAATTTTCTTATGCTTTTACAGGAAGAAAGTGCCTGTGTTTAGCACCCAGCAGAACTGATTGACTCTATCTTTCCATTATAAAGAAATAAGTATGTCTGTCTTTTAATGATATGTCTCAAGTCAAGCTTTTAAAATACACATCTAAAGACCAGTGTCAGCATCTCAGAGCAATGTTTTCTAGATTTAATAATGTTCATTTTAAAAGTTAGAAGATACTTAAAGGAATTAAGCAGGGAAGCATGTTTTTGTATTAAAAAGTACATGCTTGTTAAGCCTTCTGAGCAATTTAACTATTATTCTATTTAAAATGTGCTTTATGCCACAGGTATTCTAAGAGCACATTACATAAATCCTCGTTAAGTCATTCCTGTACCCATTACTGAAGTGTTACTCTTCGTAACAAACTGTGTTACAGTGAGCAAGATCATATGAAAAATGTCCCTGAGTACTCACTCTGGGTTGCCTGGAAAATGAGCCACCTGTGAGTACGAACTCCTTACTTTTGTCAGAGGAAAAGCTGCACCCAGACGGTGTCCCATTGAGCCTCCAACTCCCCCTGGACTTTTGAGACTCATTGGGTTTGGGCAGCTGGCTTTCCTAGGCAACACTTAAAAACAGCAGCACATCAAGGTATCTGTAACTCTTACTGAAAAGGTTTCTCTTACACTATACCTTTGGGAAGGGAGGGAGAGTAACTGAAAGGTGAGAATAGTGTCAGTCCTCTGGAACACAGGCCTACAATGCACAATCAGCAGAGTGCCCTGGCCTCAATGTGTCCCCTTGTTTCACTGATCTGTAGCTTGGAAGCTTCCCCAGTAATCCTACTCCTTAATCTACACCACATGATATTGTACAATGTACCCCAAGCCCTGATGCATGACAGATAATGACCATAGAAGGAAATCACTTTGAAAGATACTAAGCAACATTTGCTTTTCCAAATTATGTTAATTCAATTTTTAAAAAGCTTCTAATCTGGCTTACCTGGCAAAATGAAAAACTATGACTGCTTCTATTCAACTTCTAATAATGATTAAGGCTCAAACTATACAGAGTAAGTAGTAAAAACCATAATATGCCTTGGTACAAAATACTTTTACCTCTAAAGCCAACTGCTGCACTTGACCAGCTCCATGGACTCGAAGAAGAGAAAATATTAACTTAAAGTGACCAATGCATTCACTTTCAGAGCCTAGGGAACAAAACGGTCATTCAAGAGATGTTCTAAATTATAGGTCTCTATAAAAATGATACATAATGTTGTTTACTGTTGTTTATGGATTTTAACATTAATTTTATAGGTACATTTTAGGTATACAATGACACTCATCACTGGAAATTTGTACCTTTACATAATCTCTCTTGGTTATTTTTTCCCCATTCCCCTGCCCTCCCTTCAACTCCTCCATCCCTCCCTATTTACAAAGACTTTGCTTCCATTTTTTCATTTTCTCATATTAATTCCATTCCCAATTATGGATTTTTGATAACCCCTTCTAAACACTTATGACATGGAGTATCCCTAGGCAGAACTAAATTTTGTTGTTATTGTTGTTGTTTTTTTTTTTTTGGTACCGGAGATTGAACTAGCAACCCAGCAGAATCACTGAGCTAAATCCCCAGCCCAGGATTTATTTTTTTGGTACCGGGGATTGAACTTGGGAACTTGCACTTTCGAGGCAGGCGGCGGAACCACTGAGCTAAATCCCCAGCCCTGCTGTTGTTTTGAGGCAGGGTCTCCCTTTGTAGTTCAGGCTGGTCCTGAATCACTAAGTAGCCCAGGCTGGCCTGGAATGGGCAGTGATCCTCCTGCCTCCTCCCAAGTGCTGGGATTACAAGCGTGCACCACCATGCCTGGCTCAAGGCAGAAATAAATCTTAACAGGCAAAAAAGTAAAATACTAGAGTTACTTAGGTTTATTTTGTTTTCATTTCCATCACTCTAGCACTCAGGCTAAAAATAAAACATTTTTCAAATAAACAATGCAAATATAGTTCAAAAATCTAAAAAGGAAGGAGGTAATTTTACTCCTTTTCTCTAGACCTTAGTGCTCCTCTCTTCAACCTAATTATATCTTGGGAGAGCTTGACATCATTTGGCTTTTAAGTAAGATTGATTTGGAACTCTGAAACTTGAAGACTACATTACAAACTGATTATTAACATACAAAGGACTCCTTGTGAAAAATACATGAAATGAAATGGTATTTCCACTCCTATCCACTTTAAGCCCTAATCCCATGCATCCATTGCCATTTTGTTAATAAAGCAAAAACATTAAACAATAAGGTCGTATTCAGTATATACTTCCTTCTGTCATACAGTATTAAAACAGTGTATTCTGTAGTCTTTTCAGGACTAAGACTGCTTCAATTTAGAATCTAAAAATATTCTACAAGTATGTTGCTCTTAAGTTCATTTTCAAGCCATTTAAATCATAAGAATTGTCATAAATCTATCAATGAAACACAGACCATATCTATAAATTACAAAGGTACATGTAATCCTAATATGTAAACTTTCTCAAGTTATCAAAATTAAATTTCAACTTTTACAAGTTCCAAATCAAAGTTCCTGTTTTGCTAGATTCATACCTGATGCACAACTAGTAACGTTCTACTATGCCAACTCCAGACAATAAAAAAACAAGTTTTGTTTGGACTTAAAACATGTATTTAGTAATATTTCAATGTACACTCTGTGAATGAGTAATTTTCCAGCATTATTATTTTACTTCAATAATTTTTGGCTATAATGAAGTCAAGATTTTAACAGTATTTTAATATACTTTTCAGAGTAAATAAATCCCTGACATACAATGTTTAGTGTCATTTAAAAAGATCAGTTTTCAAGAAATTTAAATGTCAGTTGTATTGTTTTAGGTTTTACATTCTGTATTTGTTATCACATTAAACTCATCAAAATTACAATTAGAAACTTAGAATTTTATTTCTCCATCTCTGTAGAGACACACAAGAGAGAAATATTGTTGGAAAAGTCCTCTTATAAATGTTTTAAGAGAGGGATCACTCTCTTAATTATTTCAATTTTAATTCAAACACAACAAACTTTAGGTAATTTTTCAAAAGCATGAATATAGTACCTGTATCAGTGATGACGAACCGATTAGAGCTTTAAATAACAGCCAGCCAACTGCGGCATGTGTGCCATAGGTTCACCATCACTGACCCGTATGCATAGCACTGTGTTAGGGATCAGAGAAGAGGCAAAAAATAGATAACCTAATAAATCTAATTCAAGTACTCACACTTGATATGCCAACTTATGTCATCAGTGTGAAATTTTATATCAAATTATTCTTCCTTTTCAATTGATTCAGAATCACTTTCTCTGAAAGTTATGAATTCTTTTAAAAATAGTGCCTTAACCTCTCTCCCACTCTATTATTTATAGGAGGAAAATATTATGTGGCCAGACCCCTTCAATATTACAGCAAGTATGATATAGCCAAATATAATTTTCCCAGAGTTTCCATAATATGGAGAACTGGAATTTTTAGGGCTCTTCTGTTGTAAGGGTCTTACTGATTAAGAGTATAACCACATACCTGGATTATATTTTATGACATTTCTCAGAGCCTCCAAAGCCATTTCTACTCTTGGCAAGCGGTCTCCATGTTGCTCAGATTCCACTTTCGCGGCATGTGTGATGGCCATGAATGTGTGCAGATACTGGGCCTGGGAGCCTATGAAATCCAAGAGACTTGCAGCAAATACTTTTGGAACCTAAGTCGAGCAGAGAAACATTTAAAAACAGCTATCTGCTCAAGAATAACCTATTACGAAGACTTTATAGCCAAAGAAAAAACTTCAAACTATGAAAGTGAATAAACACAATTACATTATATACACACATAAATATACTTATGCTTTAAGGGAAAAGGGACAAGAAACAAACCCAAGTGCAGTAAAAAGAGTTTCTTGGTTTTAGGAGATCTTACAAACTTCCAGGAGTACCTTAATATGACAATTCTAAGATTAGGGCACCTTTTCCCCTTACTAGTCAAAGTTAAATGTTAGCATGTGCTACACACTGGTTATGTTTTTGGAATAAAAAATTCTATGTAGAGAGTATAAATTCAAAGAACAGTTCTCAAAGGGATTTCATAAATCACCTCATTCTGTTTAATAGCTGTTTATATATATTTTTTTCTGTGATAAGTGATACACACTATGGCTTAGTAAGCTTCTTTTTTTTCCAAGAGCAAACTCTAAAATAAAGCCTCACTTTTTCCCTCTTTCCAATGCAATCAATCATCAAATCCTCTTTGCCACCAAGGAGGTTGTATCCTATATCATTCCCAAGCATTATGGGGGAAAAACCCTAAACAACAACAACAACAACAACAACAACAACAACAACAACAACAGAAAAACCTCATTTGCCTCTGGAAGAAATTAGGGATCATTACAAGATATGACCTGATGAAATTCCAGTCATTTTCTTAAGAAACAAAAAATAAAACAAAACACCCTCTTTTGCTTTCAATTTGTATTTTTTTCTGATAACTGGCCAGAGAAAGCATTCTGTCTGGTGGTCTGATATTACACATGATGTAGAATACTGAGGAAGTTCAAGTCCTGTACATGGCACAGCAGGGGAACATTATACATAAAATACAAAGAACAGCAGGCAAAAGGTAACTTCTTATTCATGAACTTCACAAAATTCAATTTTTAAACAATTAAGATCATAAACTATCCATGGTCAAACCATCACATACTTACCTGGGTTAATTTATAAAACATTTGGCAAAGAAGTATTATTTCGATGTATATAAGTACATAAACTAGTAGCTTTCAGTAGCAAACAATCAAAGGCATTAGACAAAATTAAAAACTTACCTCTAGTTGGAAAGTAGGGACTTCATTATACACCCTAACAAAAATCTCTCCCACAATTAATTCTTTGGCATGATCACTGTAGACAAATTCTGATCCATAGGTTTTGTCACAATCACCCTTTTAAAAAAATGAAAATAGACTGTTACAAGTGACTAAAAGATGCTGGGGGTGGTGATGCATGCCTATAATCCCAGCACTTAGGAGGGTAAGGCAGGAGGATCACCAGGAATTAGAGGCCAGCCTGGGCTACATAGTGAGTTCAAGGCCAGCCCACAATACAAATGTGACCCTGCCTTAACCATACCCTCACATCCAAACAAAAACAAAAACAAAAAACCTACTAAAAAAAATGTTTAAACAAGTAAATAAGACTCAATAATGTCAGGTCTGTAAACCTATCCCTGTTCAGTTTAATAGATAAGTACCTGTGGTGGGATACATGTCACAGCACACAATACATCTAGTAGTATGACTCTGAAATAGGTATACAGTTACAATATTTTACTCCAAAGATTACTAGTGTGACTCATTATAAAATTTGAAGAGATCACAGAAGTGAGCCAACAGAATGTCTTAAGCCAGGGTTTGCAGACCAACTATGGACATTTATTTCTTCTCAGTCCACTCAGCACACATTTGGCACATCTGGACTGGGTTTTTAAAATTATGCTAATGAAAGTGTTAAAAATGTCTCTGAATAAAAAACAGACAGTAGTAGTATACTGCCTGAAAAAAAAATCAAGAACTATTCCCATTTAAGGAAAAAGAGAAAGATAAGACGAACAGGAAAAAAATAATTCCCATGAAGATTTCATTGCATTCATAAGGAATTTAGGTTGTACAAAATTAACATGTAAAAGAATATAAATTGCAAAGTGCTAAAGAAAGAGATGTTACTAATTCTAGTAAAGAATAGATGTAAATATGTAAAGCTTGCTCTCCCTAGGTCTGTGATTGAAAATTGTATCTACGGACTTCTTTATGGTTAAAAAAAAATTGTGAATAATTTGGTATGTAACTGTAGTTAAAATAATAAATTTTAAATAAATAATTTTAAACTAATAATTTTTAACTAATAAATTTTAAAGCTAAAAATGTACCTGTCTTCTAACCATGAATACTTAACCACAGAGCCAACCATGTAGGTTCTGTATTATCTAGGCTTTCCTCTTAAGTATCCTATTTCTTCACCTCACCCCCATGGCCTAATAGTTTTTTCACTAGAAGGTGGAGAAATAGGAGAAATTTTTAATTTTGATATTGGAAAACAAACTTTGATTTACTGGAGGTTCAAGTGAACAATTAAAATAAGAGTTCTTGGCAGAAAAATTAATTAAAATAGAAGATACTTATATGTAAGTAGTAGCAACCAAAAAATCCTAATATATAATTTTGTATCACAGAATGCTATTGTATGAGATGGGAGTTGAGGGACAGGAATGTAAAATGAATTAAGATGTATTATGTAATGTACTAACTCCTTATGATTAAGGTAATCGTTATGTATTGCAAACATATACCAACAAAAAAAAATTTCAAAAACAGCACACTGTTCTTAAATGGGCCAACGGGAGGCAAAAAGCTATGGTCATCAAATTCACAAATAATGAATTTATGTTTCATAAGGACTGTTACATTTCCAGAGTCTATCTTATAAAACAATTATATACTTTTTTAATCATGTTTTCTTGTTGTGACTCAAGAAATTCAAGTAGTTCTGCTCTCGTAGAATTGTTCCATATCAAGTAGGGGTTCTCTGTGTTGCTGTTAAGCATCTTCAAAATCTAGGAAACAGAAGAGTACTATATTGTAACATTAAAAAAATGACTGAAGTTAGCATTTATTTCAAATATTTACTATATGCCAAGTACTGTAACAGGTACCTTAAGTATAACGGATTTCAGTAAGTATCACAATAATTCTAACAAGTTTGTTGACACTATCCATTTCATTTTTGAGAAAAACCAAAGTTGTATCAAATTATATGTCACAGGACTCATAACCAGCAAGTGGTGAGACTGGATTAAAATCTGAGCCTGAGAAAAGTACGTGCAGTGAAACCTGAGGCCTAATAGACCAGGTAGATCATTAACACAGCCTCTGCAAGGCCAGCTCGGGTCTTAGGTCTGAGAGAACCCTGAAGCCCATGACCCAGTGTGGCCACCATCCACCAGATACAGCCCTCTGCACCTTCCCACACATTAGACTTTATGGTTTAGACTAAGGTACTTTTTTCTTACAGAATTTGGGATCAAGTGTTCATTAGAAGTGTTACTCTGTCAAAATATTTATTCATTTGTATGACATGGTAGAGGCCCATGGATATAGCTGACCATTTATATTTTGTAAATATTACCTAACTTTACATGACCTATATCATACTATTTCTGTATCCTCCCCAAAAAAGGTAAAACTTGAGTTTGATTTCATAATTCTTAACATTTGTTCTGCCATGATAAAAATTCAGTATTTTACATTAAAGTATTTAACAAGCTCTCAGTAAATACTTGTTAAAAATTACAGCATATTTTGAATATATACATATTATATAGGTATATTTCAAATTTGAAAACAAAATCTAAATCTTTATGAAACATATCCCTATGAAGGCAAATAAAATTTATGGAGAGAAACCTGGCCCAGGTTTTTGTGGCCACAACCTGATTCAAGGCTGCACTAGGAGTTCTGAGGCATAGATGATGCTTGGCCATCCAATGCACTTCCCCCGTGTTTAGCGCTCCAGAACTTTAAAGTATAAACACAGACATCTGATTATTTCCTTAAATGTTTGAATGAAAATCTTTTTACATTTCACATTTACAGAGCTATAAATTAGGAGAAAAGAAGAAGGAGATATAGTTTCCATCTTACACAAAGCTAAATCCCTTTTCCAAAAGGTGAAAGACTAGTTAAGTAAAATGACTTAAAAAAATATGATTAGGAAAATCATACTTAGAGACCAGGTAGTTAAGCATTTTATTAAATTCATACACAGCTTGTGCTAAGATTTAATTCTGAAATGCTGTAAAAGTTTTAGGGCTGTAGAATTAAGCACCAACTTGCTGGTATTTCTGGAGAGTATCTCAGTAAAAAGTTATCACGCTAGTGGGCACAAGGTCCAGGAAAGAACAAAGCTAGACTGGCAGCTAAAACTCTTGCCTATTACTCAAGGGCAGTGAAAAACACGGCCCGCACTAATTCACAGACTCAAGCAGCCTAGCTCAAGGAATAAATAAGCTGTTTACATTCTAAAAATACTTTACATTTTCGAAACCTGAGGATTTTTCCTTACAAAAGTAATACATGATCATTAGAGAAAACAAAAGAAAAATCATCTACTATTCTGAAATTAAAGGACAACTACAGTAAACACTTAGTATAGCTCTACCAGTTCACCAAAACTGGGATATGTCCTCCTCTTTTAAAAATCTTTTAATGTGTTTATTTTACTTAAAATATTCTTACAGGGCACACAGTATCATATTTAGTGGACTGCTATAATTTATCCACTTTAATGCTATAACACTTCCCCACTCCCACTGTGCTGGGGATCAAATCCAGGCCTTGCAGATGCTAGGCAAGAGGTGTACCACTAAGCCACATCACATCCCTGCCCTCATGCTATATTTCTGACTCAATGATCTTCACAAAAGAGAACAAAGAAGTTGGAAGATATATCTATGTATATGTGCATTATGTGGTTGTGTATGTATGTGTACGTATTTACTTTCAGGATTTCAATCTTGAGTCTGAATAACTATAGATTATGAGACAGGCATGAATTTTATGGATTACACCCGTAATCTCAGCACTGTAAGAGGCTGAGGCAAGAGGACTGCAAGTTTTAGCCCAGCCTGGGCAACTTAGGGAGACCCTATCTAACAAAAAAAAAAAAAAAAAAAA